CATCCTAGTCAAAGGCAGCCTTCAATGACAGGGGAGGGGCCGGGAAAACTTCTTGTAGACCAGAACTCTGAGCCCACAAAGATGCTAAGCTCAGTCCAGGGAAACCTGGGCAATCAAGAGGGCTGAGTCCTGGCAGCTGCACCGTCAGTGAGTGAGGAAAGGTTAATCAGAGCCACAAGGCCTTTGGTTTGGTGGCATGGGGTGGAGGTGCAATTGCCTACTGACCTAGCTGCGGGTAGCACAGAGTCAAGGGATCAGCCAAGTGTGCAGGGGACTGTCCATGCAGGCACCTGATCCCAGAGTCGGTTCCCAACGGTCAAGAGAAACCTGCATGAGACCCAGGAGTGCAGAAGGTGTGTGTCACAGCCCAGGTCGGTAGAGGCTGCAAACGACAACCCTGCGGCCTGCATCGGACAGAAATAGGTATCTTGGAAGGCAATGATATCGGTATCTGTCGGCCCAGCAGGGTCCGTCTCAATCCCGACATTGGTCGTCCGTACCTCCTAAGCCGGGATAAGAGGTGCGCTCTCTGCGATTTCGAGCGCTCTCTGCGATTTCGAGTTAACTGGGGTTCGAATCCCACCCCCGCGTCCCTCAGCTACGGAACTAGGCCCGAGAGTACAGAATGCACTACCAGGCCCCAAGTGCCCAGCCGGAACTCAAAGTTCGCCTTACCGGGCTCTCGACCCCCGGTCTGCGTGCCACTCACCCGCTGAGGTTCCGGTATCTGCTGAAGGCTCCGCCCGCGCCTCCGCAAATTCCGCTCCACGCCGGCCCAGGCCCCGCCCTCCCCAGCTTCGGCCCGACCTCAGAGTTCGTTCTACGCAGCCGCAGGCCCCGCCCCACACCATTACAGGCCCCGCCCTACGGCGGGAGTTGGCTCCACCCCGCCCTCTTCGAGTCCCACCCCGCCTGAGTTCGCAGCCGAGGCCCCGCCCCCAACGCAAGTTCCTTTCACGTGGTTACAGGCTCCGCCCCTCAGAGCTGCGGACCCGCCCTTCTCCGCTTGAGTCTACGGCTCTACAGGCCCCGCCTTAAGGCAGTACCACGTGACAGACACGGCGCGAAAGAGCTGGGAGGGTGCGCTTGGAGACCGGTGACGACCCTGACCGCCGCTCCGATCCCCTCTAAGGCTCAAAACCCTGAAAATGTACTCCAGCTGGGTGTAGCTTGGGATTTTCACGCACACTCGGAACTATCACCGTCCGGACACGCTAAGTGGCTCATGCCCGGAGCGTCTCCAAGGCGGGTTCGGTGTGGGCGTGGCTATTCACGGGAAGGCGGGGCCTCCCTGGCCTCAGGCCACGTGTCTAGGCATTTCTGGTCCCTGGCTTTTGCCAGCTCCTGTAACCCTCGTTCCCAGCTGCAGTGACCAGCGCGGGCAAGCAGTTTATGCACAGGACCTCCGGTGCTGAATCCTTCGGCTCCTACGGCGGCTAGCGCTAAACTCCGGGGTCTAGAGTCCAGTCACCAAAGCCTGCAGTTCTGTGGCTCTTCACGGCTTCACCCACTCTGCTAATGATAAAGATAAAAAGTAGACAATGGGCTGGAGAGATGGCTCAGGGGTTAAGAGCACTGACTGCTCTTCCAGAGGTCCTGAGTTCAATTCCCCAGCAACCACATGGCGGCTTACAGCCATCTGTAATGAGATCTGGTGTCCTCTTCTGGCCTGCAGTCATATATGCTGTATACATAATAAATAAAAGAAAAAAAAAGGAGACAAGCGGGGCCTAGAGAGATGGTTCAGTAGTTAAAAGAGTACCTCCTATTCTAACAGAGGGCCAGAGTTCGTTCCCCAGCCCTGAGGTCACCCACCCAAGGTTGGCATACACTCACTCAAACACATAAATAAAAGTATTTCTCAAGGCTGGGCGTGGAAGCTTCTGCCTTTAAACTCAGGACAGATGTACCCATGTAAGTTTGGTGTTAGTCACGCTGTCTCAAAACAAAACTTTTTTTTTTTTTTAAGAAAAAAAATTCTTTTTCAAGTAGGTAAGAAAAAAACCACTCAGGAGAAGCCTTGTCTTGAGCTTTAATGTTGCAATATCACCCAGCTGCGGAGAGCTGTTTACCCAGAAACTGAATGCGGGCTGGGGACGAGTTAGGCTACTGAGTGTGTCAGTCGCCGGACCCATGGGGTAGGGTGTAAGAAGAAAAAGCCAGGCATGGTGGTACACACTTGTAATCCCAGCACTGAGGAGGCAGACAGGAGGATCCCCAGGAAAATGTGATACTGTGTTTAGACCTATCGGGGGCCTGCTGGGCCACCAGCGAATGCTCCCCAACTGGCCTGGGTGGGGAAAGCCTCAGGGTCCTCCGGGAGGTTCGGAGGCTTGTGATAGCAAACTGTTGTCAGCTGAGGGTACAAAGCGGTTGGTGCAGGCCGATGGGTAGTCCTGGTGTGGAATGTCCTTCCCGCAAGGTGCCAGCCCCAGGTCTAACAATTGGGGAGTCACTGTGGCTCCCAACATCTCGGATTATTTAGAGGAAAAAGAAACATTTAAATAGGTGCCTATCACTAACAATGGTACCTTACGCTGTCTCCTGTGTCTACTCAGCATGGCGACCCTCGGAACCCCTGCCCACTGGACTACACGGTTGGAGCCACTGTCTGCTGAAACCCAACTCGAGCTCCTGAAGTTGCAGCTGAGAGCGTAGCTCTGAGGTAGAGACGCGGCCCTGCATGCAGGAGGGTTCAATTCATGCATCACGAGAAACCGAAAACCTACAGGAGACAAAATTTCGTTGCGCAGTGCAACCCCGGAAGAGTCCATGGTCGGCCCCCACGCCCGCGCTCACTCTGCGCGCGCGCACGGTTCGCCAGGCTCCGCAGGGAGGTCCACATCCGGGGCTCCGTGGCCGCGGCACGGTTGCCATGGCAGCAGGGCGGCTGGCAGACCGCCCACGCTGAGGGCCGATCTCGCAGAGCCCAGGAGGCCGCGCAGCGCCGCCGCTATGAGTCTGGACACCGCGGAGCTGGCTTCCGAGACGGTAAGGAGGCCCGGGGCAGAGGGAGGACAGGCGCATGGTGGCAGCCAGCTCCCGCAGGCCGATTGTTACCGCACAAGAGCCAGCCCCGGGCGTAGGCCGCCACCGTGCCCGCGCCCCAGCAGCCTCTAGCTCCGGCCCGCGCTCGCGGAAGCCTCGGCTTTCAGAAAGTCCCCAGGACTGCGCCCTCCCGCGCGCGCTGCGGGTCTGAGGCCGCGGCCGGCTGGTGACGAGTTCACCTCGTAAGTGTTGCTGAAGGCTGCACTCCAGTGATTCCTCAGAGCCATCCCACGCAAAGGAGAAGGCCTCCACCCCCATGGCCAACCCTGCACGGGTCAGAGGCATCTCTAGAAGAGGCGTGCCACGCCCTCGGTCTCCCGGTGCAGGGTGGACCCGCTGGCCCTCTGTGCGTGCCGGTACCAAGTGAACTTTGTGCATTCCAGTGGGGTCTAGGATAGGGCCATGGGCTGATGTCCCCGATCTCAAAGACAAGTAGGAAGAATTTGGTACAGGCCAGCGGGGACAATAAATGCATAAGGCTTCGAGGCGGGAAAGTGCCATGTCCAAGGGACAGAAAGCAAGCCCTCTGGGATAATATTGAGAAGGGGACTGAAGGGAGTAGGCAGGAACCTGGCCATGGGCAGAATGACTTATCAAGGGTCCAAGGGCCCGTGGAAGGTTCCATACAGACTGAGGGACAGTGCTTCTGGTGAGCCGAGAGCAATTGGAATTTGCTATGAGTCCCTGCAGAGGAGACTTCCCGAGCCCTACCTAGTTTGGGAAGTCGGTCACTCTTTGCTGTGTGTGTGCTGCTGGAGACTGAACCCCTCATGCCAGGCCAGAGTGCCACTGATGAGCCTCCCCCACACGGTCACTGGGGGATAGGCTGAGTCAGACCCCTAGCCCAGGCAAGTGCTCTTCGACTGAGCCATGCCCCCAGCCCCTCATTGGGCTCTCCCCCTTGAAGAAGTTAAAACCTTCTTGTGTTGTAATTGCAAAGATAATGCATTATTCTTTCAGGACCTTTGGGAAGTTGTCCATAACCTGGCAATCTACAGAAAGCCAATTAACGTTTGTTGTATTTTTCATTTGCGTTGTTCCCCCAGAGGTTAGAACATCATATTTCTATTGTTCTGTAACTTTTACCATTAACATTAGCTAGCACTTTCCATATTTAAAAAAAAAAAATCTGACTTTGTATGTAGCTCAGGCTGGCCTCAAATTCAGCATCCTTCTTCCTCAGCTTCCCAGATCCTGACTTGCACCAGCAGGAGGTGCTTTCCTAAATGTAACCAAGGACTGGGGAGAAGGCTCCAGGGAGGGATAAGATGATTGCCTGCACCGGGCCGGAGTTCAGATCTCCAGAACCCACGTGGGTGCAGCTGCTGCCAGTATTCCCAATGCTCAGGAACTGGAGACGGGATCCCCTGGGCAAGCTGGCTAGCTAGACCAGCCACAGTTGACAAGCTCAGAGTTCAGCAAGAGACCTGTGTCAAAGTGGGAAGGAGTGACGGAAGACACACGATATGTTTACACACACACACACACACACACACACACACACACACACGAACACACGAACACATGCAGACGAGCACACCAAATACATGTATACACACAAATAAAAATAAAGTATGTGGGGGTGGACTGGAGAGATAGCTCAGGGGTTAGGAGTAGTTGTTCTCTCAGAGTACTGGAGTTCGGTTCCCAGCACCCATGTCAGACAGCCCACAATTGCCTGTAAGTCCACCTCCAGGGGATCCAGCGCCCTCTTCTGGAATCCACAAGCACCAACACACACACACACACACACACACACACACACACACACACACACACTATCAAAGGCACACAGTAGTCCTGAGAACCCACCATAACTCTGTGCATACAGTCACTCGGCCAGGCAGAACCTTTCATTCACACACACCACACACACACACACACACACACACACACACACACGCCCCATACTCCTTCCTCTCCCTATGTGTGTTCATGAATGGAGGCCAGAGGAATGTCACATGGCATGCTTCAGACATTATCTGCACACACGGTCTCACACTGGCCTCAGATGCACCAAGGCTGGGCTGGCTGGTCGGTGGACTCCAGAGATGTGCCTGTCTCTACCTCCAGCACGGGCGTTTTCCAGCTGAGGCATCCCCATGCTCCCAACCCCTCCTTTCTGACTGTTGGGCGACATTGGCTACTGCAGCATGGCGATGTCCCAAGCTTCCTGTGATGTCCCATGGGATGTGCTGGGTGGTGTGGCGGCAGCTGGGACAGGCAGTGTAGAAATGGGACTGACGGACCCGAGCAGGTGCCCTCCAGTGACCCTGTTTGCCTTTCTTCCAGGGCGATGACAGTCTGTCCGCAATTACCTTTGATTCCGACTTTGAGACGGTGAGTACAAGCAGGGTGGCAGTCCGCAGGTCAGTGTTCCTTGGATGTGTCTGTGAAATAGTCTCCCCAGATGCTGGTAGGCCCCAGAGCACTGGTGCCCAGAGCTGCTTCTGGTGTAGAAATTTCAGTCTACTAGTTGAATTTAAAGGGTTGAGATGTCAGTTTTAAACTTTTTACTTTTTAGAAATCAATTTCAAGGGCTCAGAACAGCTCAGTTGATCGAGTGTTTACCTAGCAGGCATGAAGCCCTGGGTTCCATCTCCAACACTGCATAAACTGGGCACAGTGGCACACGCCTGTAATCCAGCATTTGGGAGGTGGTGGAGGCAGGGGGATGAGTTTAATGTCACCTGGCCTGGGCTACTTAAGACCCTGCCTCAAACAATAGCAGCAGCAGCAACAAAATAATAATAAAAACTGAGGTTATCATTTTAAAGCTAGTTATAGAAATTAATTATGAAGGGCTCAAGAGATGGCTCAGTGATTAAAAGCACTTGCTGCTCTTGCAGAGTCTAAAGATGTGATTCCCTGTACCCACATGGCAGCTCACATTGGATCCCCAGAGTGCTAGGAGCTAGTCAAGAAAACTGGCAGAGGTGGTCAGACTAGGATACACTGCAAAGCCATGCCCTACCCCTCAGTGGGGTTCTAGGCAGGTGCTCTACCACTGAGCCACACCCCAGCC